AAGGGTGCAGCTCCCAGCTTCGTTTCGCCGTTCTCGAGAGCTGTTTGTAAATATTTAGGGCCTTCCTACAGACGTTGCCGACATGGGTGTTAAAGGTCAGCTTGTCGTCTATACTAAACCCCAAAATCTTCAGCTCTCGAAACAATTCAATGTCGACCCCGCCCATGCTCAGGAGCGGGGTATCATGCTCGAACTTGATCGTAAGCAGCATGGCACAGGACTTATGTGACGCAAATTTGAGCTTGTTTTTGACGCCCTACTCCTGAATAAAGTCAAGGGCGGCATTATTTAACTTTAATTAATAATATTGTTGTTGTATTGTGTTACTTTGTATTTTGTGTCGTGTCGTGTCGTGTAATATGACAATCTTAATGTTATATAAAAATATTATTATTAAGAAATTAGCAAACTTTAATAGAAAAATTTTGGTGTCTCTTTGTTATATACACATATAATTAAGCCCGCATTTTTATGATGTGTGTGTTACACTTAAATTTAGATCAAACAAAGATAAAATAGACTTACATGTATAGTAATATTATAAATGAGAAGTATGTCTGTTTCTCTTTCTGTCTGTTTGTTTGTTACCTCTTCACACTTAAGCCGCTGATCCGATTTAGAGGAAATTTGGTATGGACATACTTTTATTAGGCTACTTTTACCGCGAAAACCGACATATACACGGGCCGCGGGAAAAAGCTAGTTTACCATAATTATAAAAAAAACTATAGGTACTTGTTAAACTAAAAGAAATATCACGATATTATGATAACAACTTAAGAGTTTTTTTTAATGCCTAGAATATCATGATAATAATTTCTAGAGATTTGTGGATTTCACAACATTTAAAATATTTTATTTAAAGATCTAATTTGTCAAGAATTGTATTATTTAGATTGTTTAAAATCCATATATAATTTGACTGTCCATAACGTTTTTTTTAAAGATATTATTGTTAAAATAATACATGTTGTAAATTTTAATAAGGTGGGTACATATGTTTCCTGCAAATTTATGTTGCAGTGTATGTTTTGTGTTTGTTTTGTACTGAATTGTTTTGTGTATTGGCATAACTTTGTGTGTACAAGTAAAGTTGTATAAAACGAAATAAAGATATACATATATTATAGTTATTTATTATATTATTGGGAATTATTGGAAATGATTACAGAAGCCTTTTATTCGTAATGCGTTAAATTGCCCGTAAAAAAGGATAGTATCGAATATTATTCAAGAAGCATCGGATCCTAACGGTGATTATTAAAACTAAAAATTTAAACAAAAACAAAAATACTAAAGGTGGGTACTGACATTATAAGTTTGAATTAATTTATAATACTTATGTGTTTTTTAAGCAATAATCTTTCATCCAACACATAACAAAGCCTTAGAACATCTGAAAGATTTTGCAATTAAACAAATGATGGCTTGGCCTTTATGTAACTTGTTTATACTACTAAGGTCACAAATAAACTAAGTACTTACTCGATGAAACGCTTGTGTAACGCACTCGTTGACATCCTTGTAAATTTTTGTAATCTTAAATTAATTGTAAAGATATGTATACATTTTATAGTAGTATGTACACAAGTAATGTTATTATCTGTTTATAAATGATATAAATATAATATCTAGCAAATATCTACTTATACTGTTTTAATTAAGCGTTTAGTATAATTACTCTTTCAGAAAACCTCCACTTCTTCTTGAAGGCCGGAAGACAGCGACAGCTAGTTTTAGGAGATGTTACGTACAGCAAGTTCAGAGAGGTGCGAGGAAAGAGCTTTTGGCGTTGCAGTAAGAAGATACAAGGATGCAAAGCCTCAGTTATAACCGCTAAGGATGAAATTTTGGAGTTTAAGGATTTTCATAACCATTAGCTAACGGTTTTGTGTGGTAAACACTAAACTTGATCAAATCATCAAAGTAACTTACTTTAGCCATGATATCATCGAACGGACTATACTCATTTTAAATATTTTATAAATTAATCCCATGAGAACCTATATTAAAACTATTAAAATATAAAGTTAACGACTTTAAGTCTATTTGCTGTAAAAATCTATGGGAAATTAAAAATTTAAAAGTATTTCTATTTCAAAACAAAGACTTTGGTTAGATGATCACTTTAACCCTTTTACTTTGAGAAGTCTTTCTCTAAAGCAAATAATTATATAACTTCAACTTATTTTTTTCAGTCCTTTACGTTGAAAATCGCCATGGTAATAAATCGCTCTTGTTCTTGGATCATCGTTACAACAAGAGCCACGAACGGAGTGGACGCGTCTCATGGCGGTGTGTAAAGAGAAATAGGGGTTGCAAAGCTGTTGTTATTACTTATATGGGTAATGTAATACGGTATACGAAACATAATAATCATAATTAAAACAATTTGTGTGATGTAAAGTGTAACGTAAGAAGTGTAAAAAAAGTGGCGCCAACTATTAATGTTAGAATGCTGACAAATCAAACAAAATGCATTTTCTCTTTGTATACCAATACTAAACTAAAACTATAAACAGTTTTGAGAGCTACGCTTTGTACACACACACGTCATCATCATCATCAACAGCCTATACTAGTCCACTGCTGGACATAGGCCTCTCCTTAGAAAGGAGGATTTGGACTACTATACCACGCTGGCCAGACGGGTTGGTATAGGGGTTTGTTTCAAGTTTTCCTTCTCTTTGCGGTGCTGTTGTCCTGCTTAGTTTGCTCCCTTAGTCGGCTTTTACGACACCCACGGGATGAATTGGGGTGGTGACAATTTGTATTCTTAATCCGTCACCACACGGACGGACACGACACACACGCATGTAATACAAATACATTTAATATACATTGATCTCCCATAAATTTCTTGCATGTAATACCTGAGGTTTCTGGTAAGCATATAATGTAATGATTAATTGAATAAAAAAAATATATTTAATTCTGGTAATTAACTTTAAAATTTGAAAGAAGCTGTTATTATTACTGATAATAAAATCAGTTCTTGTTGTTGATCTACCAAGAGTGTACCGCCTATAGTGGCTCAAGAATTTATTTTTATGCAGCAAAATCAGGCAAAAATATAATATGTATAATATGTGAGCGATATAATAATTAAAGCATCATAATTGTGTTTTACCTTTCTGGTTAAATTTATTACTACAATTTTGTACTAATTTGAAAAATTTACTAAAATCATGAAACTCGTATGTATACAATAAATTTTAAATTAACAGTTTAAAAGTTATAGGTTCCTGTATTTCTCATAACGTAATAGTAATTTTTTATACTGATTAACAAAACCTTTGAGCATAAATTAAAAATGGTTCAAGATGATCAAACAAAAATATAATAATTAAATTAAAAACTATTAACGTACTTAGTAGTCCGTTCAGTATTTCACAATCAATTTGAATTACTTTACTTACTTTTCACATTTCACTATGTGATGTTCTGAGTCTGGGTATTCTTTGTGTCCGTTTCATGCATGCCTGTATAAGACTTTACACCCCGCGACACAGGATATTGCTTTGGCATATATCCTGTGGCATAGTCTTTTTAAAAAATAAAAAATGCGTCCATGTCGTCGTCCCTTTATGACCAGTGCAAACTGGGTAGAACCTCGAGGAAATTCAAGGGTATGTAATACTTATTGGTCACGTTAATTCTCGGAAAAAATATTAAATGACATAACCAGAATTCATTAAGTCTCGTTCCTATGTTTAATTAATTAAGGTTTAATTGTAGGGTACGAACATGTCTATAATACCACCCAAAAGGTACAGAAATTGGTGATTAAAATGATAAAAAATACATACACGCAATAAAAACTTTTTTTTGAAATGTTAGTTTGTATTCTTTTCTTTTAGTATTTAAATTTTCAATTTTTATGAGTAAACTTAATAGACCTATCCTTTCTTTAAATGTTTTTATTTGATTAAGAGTTCCTGTAATTTGATTTCCAGTTGCACAGTTTGTAAGGAATGCCCGTGGGAATCTCGTGTTAGTATATTGTGGGAACAGATTTGGAAAGAATCGTACAAATCAGTCCTCTCAAACATCGTGGCGGTGTATTAAAAGAGCTATTGGCTGCCGAGCGACAATAACGACAGAAAACAACATAATACTTCAGTTTCACGATGTACATAATCATACATGATCATATTAGTATGATCATTATGAAATACACTAAACAAATTCAATGGTTAGGCATATCAACCTACCTAATCATCTGGTGATTAACGGAAAGATTGGCCGATACATTTTAAATAAAACTACAGGAGCCTAATTATTACCTAATTTTTGTGATATAAATCCACACTTATATTATAAATGTGAGAGTGAGTCTTTTTTTATTTGTATCACGCCTAAACATCAAACCGATTTTAAACATTTTTTCACTAATTGAAAGCTACATTATATTTTATTTCACATAGACTAACCTTTAGCGCGATAACCGACGTAATTCTTTAAAATATTGAATTTATTGTACAAAAGGATAGTCTTTTATTTTAGTGGAAGTACTTTTAAGAATTTTATATGCATTGTTAAAAAAGTATCTTCTTGAAGAGAATGATCTCTTCTCATCATCTGAATTTGATCCAAGTCTCTAGTCCACACAGTGTTAGTAAAAATATACTAGTAGCATGTTGGAAATAGATACACCAGAGATCTAAGGTTAGGACTAAGAACTACGAAAGTTTATCCAACAGATTGTTTTCATATTTTTTCCTTTATTTTTTTGCACAAATGTCGTGCCAGTAGTAAAGCTGAAAGGTGCGCATCTGTTTTATAATTGTTTTGCATAAAAAGTTGAATAGTGTGCCTGAAGTAAAACCATCTTTAAACATTTTTGAAGTTTTAAAATAAAATAAACAGTTCTTTTATTTAAATTTTTATTATTAGGCGTGAAAATAGTTTAACTAACCAATAGTTAAACATAACTTTTAAACAATATTACAAAATCTATTTATAGATTTGCTTAATATTTAATTCTTCTTTCAGTTACTATGATACCGAGTACAAGAAGCAAGACTAAAAACATGCTGATGGTTAATGGTTTTACATTTTCACAATACAGTCCAATGTTTTGGTATTGTACAAAGAAAAAAAGAGGCTGTCCAGCTAAGGCTCGTACTGATATAACAGGCAGTTTGAAGTATTTGTTCGAGGAACACAATCATGCACCTCCAAATTACCATATCACTGAAGTTGGTAAATACGTAAAGCTGGATTGATTTCTTCCAAATATCCAAACCGAATTTTCACGCAAGAGTTTAACCAATGAAAGTGCTATGTTCCTAACGTTCGCTATTGTGTCAAAATATACAGAGGTCCACAATATGTGTATGTGGGTGTATCGTTATTGAGTACTAGCGGATTTTCCTAAACTTCCTCATTTCCTTTGGTCAGAGTTGGTTGACTTGAAGTTTTAAAGACTTTGACTTAAAGTTAGGAGACGTGGTGTTCATATAATATTTGTCTGGAAAGCTATTACCTATGTTAGTGTTACCTATATTACATTTCTAGGTTGTTTTAGTGCATAGGTATGTTCACTATCAAAAAACTATTGTTTGTACTTGTTTTCTGCTGCAAGAATAAACTGATGAGCAGGCAAAGTTTAAATTATTTTTAATGTTCATTGTTGCAGTTAATTAAATGTTTATTATATAAAGTGTTCGTTTTAACTTAATACTACGACTGAAACTTTATGGTTTGGTTTCCCGTCAGTCCAAATATTGCATTATCCTCAGTGTTTTTGTGTTCACCGTCGCCTAGAACCCATGGCACGAGGTGTTTACTTTGGGTTTAAGTAGTTTTATGTAAACATGAAAATTGCCGTTATTATTTAATAGGGAGCATTTGAATTCTATTAGACAGTAGCACTAGATATAAATAATACTATTTTAGTTTGTATCTATAGCTTTTCTAAATACAATGCATACGAGGAAAATACATTTTTATCTAATATTTTTATTTGCTTGCAGAATATTTAGCATCACTCCTAAGAGCACGGTTTTGTAATAGGGAGACCACAAATATATTTATTGGCGGGCATAAGTTCTTCAGGCATTCACGATCACTCGTCGGCAACAGAATAAGATGGACCTGCGCAAAGAAACACAAACATAAATGCAAAGCCTCTGCGGTAACTATAGATGGCATTGTAGTCTCTACGACAGGGCTTCATTCACATATTTGAATCCTTTGGAATACTCCAATGCTTGCTTGGAATTGACAGGAACTGATGAATATTGATGATACCATATCTGCAGCTGCGTTACAAAAGTAACGTTCTGAAAGAATAACGCAGGCAGTCACCGCGTTTATTTCGAATTGAATAAACTATCTCTGGAAATGAGTACCCTATTTAAACAAAGGTTCTTTGGTCATTCGTCTTAAAGTTTTATGATTTTCTGTCTTTATATCTTTTAAGACGACAGACACAGTCTGAACATAAGCTAAAATGTAGGATCGGAAACAGAAACGGAGAAAGGGTATTACGAAACATGCAAAGGTCTTTTTACTTTTTAAGTAAAAATATCTGTGTATATATGATATATATACTGTTATGATTTTAGATGCTCCTCCCGCTTGTAAGTTAAGCGAGACAATAATATGTTGTATTATTGTCGAAGGTGCTTTTAACACATGCAATCCACTATAATAAAATTATAATGTTGCATTCTTCACTTCGTATAGAACTTAAGTATTTAATAACACGTAGGTTTTATATAACTTTTTAAAACATTGTATTTAAGGACGACGTAATGATTAAATTTGCGTCTTTTTGTGTGATTCGATGCAAAAGTTAAGAATTTTGATGTGCCTTTTGAGTGGGAACTAATTGTTGAAAATTCTAAATTAACAATTCTAGAATATTGACACATACAAAATCAGGGGAATCATATTTGTAGTATTGTAGAGGGAGGAGTTGTAAATGTACCAAAAATGCGAATAATAGTTATGACCCTTCTAATGTCAAATGTTTCGATGTTGGGACGGTTCCGTGTAAATATATATTTTTATAATCATTATGTGTAATCAAATTGACACATTCCAATTCACTAAGTAAATATGTTTTGTTAAATATTTTGATATAAAGTATTTATTAATGTAGATATGTATTAAAATAATGTTACCAAAGGAACTTTGAAATTAGATTACTGCCCGAAGTATGCATTAAATTCGTTTTACATGTAATGCTGCATTGATTTTAAAGGAAATAACCAATGTAATGAATAGAAACCCAATTGTCTTGGTTTATAACTCCCACCCCCTTATGTGCCGCTTCAGCACTCTTGCAGATTACCATTCCTGTGGGTAATAAATAAAAATGGTGATATATTGTCTGCTGTAAATAAAAAGCATGGTTTATAATTGTTGAATGTTTATGGTAATAATAATTTATTTCAATATTTTATACTGTTATTTTTTATCAAGTTTTTATTTTAGTAGGTTTTCTGGTTATTTATTTTCAGTCATAAACGAAAATGTGATAGAAATCTCCAATTAACTATATTTATAAGTTTTTCTTTGCCGTGTAAAATGTTTTATGAGTTATCATGTTACTAGTATCTTAATAAAAATTATAATTCTGTCACTGGTTTTCTATCAGCCCTCTTTTTATCGCGTGAAAGCTCACCAGGTCACTATCGGTCTGGAGCTGTACTGAACTCTTGTATGTTTATCTCTAGCCCAGTAGAATTGTATTTAAAATTATAAAGACAGAAGTATTTAAAATGTTTGATTCCCGTATAGCTAATTACACAGTAACGCAGAGCCACACTATTTACATCGACTTGGCGTTTCATTCTGAAGTTATTTGAGGGTGTAAAGGCTTTTTCTAATTAACCTCTATTTTACATACTCTACACATGCACTTTGACTTATTGCTAACTAAATATAGGTAATGCAATTAAACAAAAACACTAAATATATATAGATTTTGTATCATTGCTTATATGGCACCTACATTATAGTTATAACCGAAAATCACTAAAAGCAAATACACGAAAGTGCTACGATTATAATGAGATAAATATAAAAAATATAGTTTAAAAGACTATTAAACACGCTTATGTAACTAGACGAACTAACAAGTAGAAAATAATTGTGTAACTGTAATTTTGTATTTAACTTCAGAAAAAAAATCATTTTATCGCAAAAATGCGTGTGGTGCTAGATCACAATTGTTGTAAAAATATTTTATTGGTAAAAGGAAAGTTATCAAATTATAAAATATCTTGAAAAGCATCCCACAATTATAGTTTTTTAAACTATAATTTATTTTTGCTCTTTTAGTCATTAATGATGATTATTTTCTCATTAAGACTAAAAAGTGACAAGTAAGTACTCGTAAGTCACACGTGCTTCAGCACACACCTCTTAGTACGTAGAAAAGACGAAAATAGAAAAAGCCGTTAATCCTGAAGATCCTGATCAGGATAATGGGCCAAAATTATCAAATTATTGTAATGTCATCGGTTCTTGATAAGTGACAAGTGATAAGATAAGATAAGTGATAAGTCTTTCTTAGTTCTTTCTAGTCTTTTGCGAGTCTATTAATCTTAACCGATTCGTTTGTCGGACCGCTTTATAGGAAAGGAAAGATATATTTTTTAGTCCTCTATGGCAGCTATAAAGATCTTGGGACTAATCCCACCCACACGCCCACCACTGTAACTCCTGTACACCAGGATCCACAGCAGTGACCCACGAACACACCGAGTTATGACACTCGGGAAGTCCCAGAAAGAAATTAAACTGTCTTGGAACCCGCTACGAAATTAATCAGAAGAAAATTGGAGGAGTTGGAAATATTATAAAGATATAAAGAAAAAAAAAAATTTACTTATATTTTTTTATATATGAAGCCAAGTACAATACACGGTATCTCTAGAATTTGTGGTTAATCTTAGTTTATTTCCCATTTTGCTGTAGCTTTTATGTAAAAACAGTTATATAATTATTAAAGGGATTAAATATAATGACTACCAAAAATAATTTGCAGCCCCAAACTAAGACAGTTTAAAATTACAATGTTTCTAGCTGTTTTAGTCATGACTGCACTTTAATTTAAACGTAAGCCATTATTAAATGTTGTGTACATATTACAGCGAAATTAATAAAAACATCTAGAAGCGGCGTGGCTTTATTAGCCTTTGGGAACACTTACAATCGTCGATCAAATTCGAAGAATATGACTTCACGTTGGTACTGTTCTCTATACCATAGTGGATGTAAAGCAGCTGTCATCACCAATGCTGATCTCCTTATAACAGACATCATTGGAACACATCAACATAAGGCTCCAAAATTATTCAGAGCGCCAGATGGGCTATATCATAAAGTATTGGACTAATGGTTGTATGCTTTTCAATGATTTATTTTTATTTTTATGAAATAGTTTTAATAAACTAATAACGCCAAAATGCATTGAGATACTTTGAATCGTCTGCAAGGAGTAACTACGCTTTCATTTTTTTATTTTTAAGTTTGTGAAGTTAATTTTATTTTAAGTTTTAATGTCAATGTCATTAAAAAATAAATGAATTAATATGACCTTTTGTTGGGAAAGGCAATTGAGTACATAAGTGATAAAGATTTGCATCATACATAATTTGTTGCAAACTTACGTATATTTGAGTTCATTTTGTAAAAAATAATAATAGATCAGCACACAGAAAATCTTGCTGTTATTTTGTGTGTGCTAATCTATTATTATTTTTAATCGATTCGTGAAAATAAATTCTTAAAGTAATTAAAAAGTATTTCTTTCTAAATAATATAATCTATGATATATTGAGTCAACAACTTATAATAAAGTTTTGAGAACGCATCGCATAGTAACTCCCTTGAACATTATTACATTTTATGGCTGAAAGCCAATACAGATCGTTTTGGAGAGATGTTGTATAATTTGCATTATTTCTAAAGCTTGTAAATATAAAGAGTCTTCTCCCTGTGTCCGTGTCCCTGTCCCCTTTTTATGAAATACTAAAGACACTACGCCGGTAACCGAAATCTACACGTTTTTTTTTGTTCTGTATTGTAAAGCCATAGAACATTTCTTTTTTTGATTGAATTATAATTAGAATCAGCCGGGGATCCTTGGGGCCCTACACAAGATCTTCTTCAAGAGCTTCTTTGCAGTCTTAGTCGTATTAAAACTTATTGAATATAATATATAATGTACTAAATTGACTGACTAATATATACTTTTAATATTCCAGGTGAAATGATAAAGATGTCTAGAGGTGTTAGTATGTTGTTAGCTTCTGGATTTACGTACAATCGCAGACAGAATGCAAAAAATTCGTTGTCACGGTGGTACTGCACTTTATATCATAGCGGATGTAGGGCTACTGTCATTACCACCCGAAAACTCAACGTGGTGGAAAATATTGGTGAACATACACACAAGGGCCCCAAACTATTTAAATCGACGGACGGCGTATATCATAAGATATTTTGATTCGTGTACATGAATGTCATGCATGACGATTATGTTATGGACGCTTTAACCCACAAATTTAAATAGTTTTCAAGCCGTACATAATATATATTATGATAAGATTATAAGTACATATTTAGTTATAGATTTTTTAATTTGACATAAGTTTCCAAATTAAAGGCTTTATAATGTACTTTTTGAAATTTAAATATTATCTTCAAATCGTTTTAATTATTATTATAATAAACAAGTTAAATATTATCATTATCATATCACAAAAAATAGAATATAGTTGCAATAACTTTATCAAGTGGTGGATATAGCTAGTGGAAAAAAAAACCTGTCCCCGGGTGATTTAGCATAATATAGAATAGTATAATAAATAAAATTGACATTAAATAATTATGTCAGTTGAGGTGTCCGTCTGCGGCAAAAATATAAACAATGAACTCTTTAACAATCACCATAATGCAGCATTAATAGTGCAATTTTCTATGATATTATTCAAACTGATATAAACATACCTTTAACCGATACATTATAATCATAATAAATAAATCACTTTGTTTTTTGCTTGTAAAGACTAGTTATTATTTGTAATAAACAGGTTTTGCGAAAAATATCTAACAAAAATTATTTACTTCCTTGTTTCAGAGTTAGAAACAATAAAAAAATGTCTTTCTCAAGATTGTAATAACTATGATTTTGAAAACGTTTTTGTACAAATCAGAGAGACGTTACAGGATTCAGACTCCAATTTAATTAATTTGCATTGGCCTGAACGAGCGCTGTGTACTTCTTTTACTTCTAAAAAGTATTTATACTTAAAATGTCGTGTTTGCGCTAGTAGCTGTAAAGGGTGTCCAAGTAAGCCTCCTTTGTGTGCAACTTGCTTTGAAACTTGGCACTCGAAAGATTACCATGAGTGATGCAATATTAGCAGTACCACAATAAGTTCTCTTTCAAATCAATTTTGACAAGTGCTCGAGAAACATTTCCACCTTTTGTGTTAGTGTTAAAGCTATAATAACTTCAAATATATAACTTTTTTTTACGGAAAGAAAATATAACTGTTGTGAACATAAGTAGGAAGCAGCCGTTGTTTAATTGATTGGTTAAATGATTAAACGAAGTGATATTTATTTCGCATTACACTGAATTATCAAAGATTGTACTCGTACCTATAATATTGAAAATTGTGGTTTTTAAACAATTACAAAGATTCAGAACCATAAATCATCCATATGTATAAATCCATATGTATCAATCTTACATATGTATAAATTTTGAAGTAATTGGAATAAGGGAATTGGAATAAAAAAATAAAGTTAAGCATTGCAAGCCTTTAATTTTTATCTAATAAATAAATTGGTAACAAATAAAAGGTGGAATAAAAGAACAATGACAGAGCTCCATACAAAAAATATTTGGAATCAAATTGCAGAATCTTGTAGTGAAAAATATATTAGAAAAGTGTTTTTTTTTTGGAATCTATGTGTAAAACAATTTTTATTTGGTAACGCCGCTGAAAAAAGACATTAGCATTTGATTTTTAGCTTACGCACTGCATTATTTTGTATCTGTGGAGTATTTTATAACATAGCTGCTTATTGTTTCCTTTTTTTTGTTTATTTATCTATGGCTATCGACTTTTCAAATTGGTTTCTGTATCATTTTACATAAATATTTGATAATTATAACTGTATGTGTGCCATATAAATAAAGGAGGCAAGTTAATAAATATTTTTTTAAATAAAGTTGACATTGGGTCTTAATGCCTTAGAAGATAGTTTCAAAAACGTAGATATTTACTGGAATCAGTTTCCCAACTCGTAAATGACATTTTAAGATACCTAAATTATAGTACTTGTTGTTGTTTGTAGTCCAAAGCGTCAACAAGCGCCTTAAGTAGAGTTATCATTTTTATAATGAATTTTAGTTATAATAAACCAACAATATTCATATTCATTTAATTTATTGCTATTTTTCAATATACATATTGACGTACCATGGATTGTGCTGAAAGTACCCTATAATATTCGTTAACGTATTTTGTAAATAAAATAGTAGCAGACATACGACTTTTTTCTTTTTTGTTTTAGGTGCAACATAACAAAGAGGATTTACTTCATTTTATTTAAAAAAAATGATGTTTTTTAGTATTATGATAATATCACCTATGTAATATATAATTAAGAATCGTATCACATAACAACTGATTTTCGTCAATTATATCATAATATTTTGTGTTGTTGTATGTATGATAGAAAATACAATTCGTTTATATTATCTACTCGTATCTTTCCTCAAATCTGAGATGACTGAGGTGAAGTTATAAAACAGTGTATGCTATTGCATCGATTTATGTACATTATTATGTAACATAGGTACTACTCAATAATGCTTTATTTTTTAGTGACATTTGTTCGAAAATTAAATGGGAAATCAGTGGCGATGCTCGCCGGTTATACCTATTACAATGTTGGCAATACTGAATCACCAGAATGTGTGTGGAGGTGTACCTACGGCCATCCTTGCAAAGCCAGATTTAGGGCTACTTACCAAGGAGTGATAGTCAAGATAACATCTGTAAGTCACACTCATGATCCACCAAGCGTGCTGGTAAGAAATGGGATGTTATTGAAATTAGGGAGAGGTCCTAGAAAGTATTAAGGCGCTACCATTAGGAATTGTGATATTGCAAGGATGTATATGAAAGTTACCTACTTACTCGTCAAATCTAGTTTGATATACCAATTTACTAATACTACCTACTCGTCAAATCTAGTTTGATATACCAATTTACTAATAACACTTAATTTGATATACTATTATAATAATAATCAGTATTGATATTAATTTCTGTCCGTGTGGTGACGGATTAAGAATACAGAGTGTCGCCACCCCTATTCGTCCCGTGGGTGTTTTAAGAGGCGACTAAGGGAGCAAACTACGCAGGACAACAGCACTGCAAAGAGAAAGAAAACTTGACATAAACCCTATACCAACCCGTCTGGCCAGCGTGGCATAGTAGGCCAAAACCTCCTTTCTAAGGAGAGGCCTATGTCCAGCAGTGGACTATTAAAGGCTGTTGATGATGTTGATGATGATATTAATTTATCCATATAAAGCAGGGAATTCCCTGACTACTACGCCGTAAAGAATGCGATAGAGACAATTAATGTAAATAATTCTAACAATAAATTTTAACATGCTAAATGAAAATTGTTTTTTTTTCTTCCCATTATTATCAGTAAATAGATTAAAGGTATATTTAATATTAAACATTAGAACCTCTATAATGAAGAATGTGATTATGATGATCGCATATTTGTTTGGGTAATGTTTTTCCTGATTTCCATATTTGAACAGTAATAGAAATCATTTGCTCTGCAATTTCATTTTATATAAATCGTTACTACTACTATGTTAACATGAAATAAACATGTGTCACAAAGAACACATAATATAGCTTATCTTAATAGACCAATAGTATACATTATAAGTTTTCTATTCTTTGCTATACTTACCATCATCAGCCTATTCAGTCTTCCATTGCTGAACGAAGGCCTCCCTAAAGGAGCGCCATCCATCATGGTCTTGGGCAATCCGCATCCATCCGCTGCCAGCTATTTTTCTCAAGTCGTGGGTCCATCCTCCCGTCGGTCCGTCACTCCATCATCAGTGTTTTTAATGAACTCTCCAAGACATGCATTCACTGATAAGTATTCGCTTTTGAAAGACAGCACAAAATTATCAACATAAATTTTATTTCGAAAGTAAGAATGTCCTGACAAATAAATGTATGAGTAGGTATTTCATATCAAGAAATTAACTAAATAGAATGTCCAGTTTTAACATGAAAATTCATGTCATTCAGTCCAATTAAATGAACTAAACAGTTAGGT